TCTCCTTCCTTGGAGGTTTTTAAGTCCCGGCTTGACAAAGCCCTGGCTGGGATGATTTAGTTGGGAATTAGTCCTGCTTTGAGCAGGGGGTTGGACTAGATGACCTCTTGAGGTCCCTTCCAACCCTGATATTCTAGGATTCTATGAAATGGAGCATTATACCAGTTTAATAATTCACACCTTCGATTATACCAAAAAGACTTTCCGATATAGACAAGGCCTAAGTGTAAATCACATATCCCAAAAATCTAGGAATTCCAAACCCAGTACTTATACATTTTTCAAACATCTTTCCTGGGTGACTGTAAATGGAGGTTACCTACCTGTAACTGGAGTTCTTTGAGATATGTGGGCCCTATCCGTATTCCACACATGGGATATGCATGCATGTGAATAACCTGCATTTCTTCTTTGAGTGAGGTCCCTATGCATTCCACACATAGGAGATTAACAAGCAGTAGTCAAACAGGTGGCAGGTGGAGAGGATGCAGAAGTGACAGCTAACTGCAGTACTGCTGTCCCCCCAGCCATATACACAGCTGATGACTGTATCAGTGCGTAATGTCTCGTGAAAGTATACAAAGAGCTCCAAGTAGCTGCCCTACATATCTCTAGAATGGGTATGTCTCTCAGAGATGCAGCTGAAGTAACTTGCCCCCTTGTGCAATGTGCCCCTACCCATAATGGCTAGATGGTAACAAAGGGTAATATAACCTGAGATCCATTTTAAAAGTCTCTGCACCAATATAGATTGACTTCTTGATTGCTCTGCTATGGAAACAGTTTAGATGTCTTTTTAATGTCCTTTGTTCTTTTCAGATAAAAGACTAAAGCCCTCCAGACATCCAGAGAATACAGTCTTCTCTTCTGAGACATGTGGTTTAGGAAAAAATACAGGTAGGTGGATGACCTATGAAACTCAAACAACCCAAATTGGGGGCACAACAAGATCTTTTCTTTATAGAAAGCAGTATATGGGGGGCCTGCCATAAGTGCTCCCAGTTCATTGACTCTTCTGGCCGACATTTTAGCTATCAGAAAGACCACCTTCATGGATAGATGCATGTGGCCAGCAGTTCAAAGGGAGTCTTACTGAGTGATGATAGAACATAACTGAGGTCACATTGAGGTTTGATCTTCACCACTGGGGGAAAGGATCTGAGAATCTCATTCAAAAATCTAGCTGAGAGAGAGTGCATGAAGATCAGACGATTATTAAGTGGAGAATGGAAAGTGCAGCTTGTGGCTAAATGCACCACAGGGAACCAAACGCAAGACCTGAAGACTTAGGGTAAGTGTACACTCTAAGATAGCAGGGATTCCTGCAGAATCTGAACGCAAATTGCGTTGATGAGCCCAAGCGGAGAAATACTTGCAGTTAGGTGAATAACAGCTTATTGCAGAATCTCGTCTCCTTTGGCTAAAGATAGATTGCACCCTCTTGAAACGTGAGCATTCTATCTTTGATGCCCAGCCCAATACCAGTCTCTGAGTTGCACCAGCCCTGGACTGGGATGTGAGGTCTTGCCCCCGTGTCATGTTAGAAGATCTTGCAACATGCTTTTGAACAGATCCCAAACATCTTTTTATTTACTTATCATCATTATTGTTGTTTTTGATTATTATTTTCTCTGGAGTTGACCTTGACTATACCTTGCCCAAGAAATTTGGACCTTGACAAAAAATAATGGACTACCCCCAATTATGCTATACTATACTATAAAAACTACTAAAGAAACTAGTTGTACACAATTCTGACAGGAATGGTGCAGTAAAAAAAGACTGCTGAGGGCACTGAAGATTCTGACTCAGACCATGCGATGGTCAGAAGGAACTGGAGAGGTGTCAGCCCGCATCTCCCTTTACGCCGTTGGTGGGGAGCACGTGAACTATGGCACGTGTGGGCTAATGGAAACTGCTTGCAAAAAATTCCAGACTCAGACACATGGATGTCCAACATGTGAGATACACATAGGCACCATCGCTCAAAGAAGAACAAGTTGTCAGGAGCAAAATCAATGATCCCAGTTTCCAAATTACTGCCACTACCGACTAATCTACTAAGAAGGTAATTCCAGTACATAATACCCGGATATCATTGATAAACAGGACTGGTTGTCTTTTAAGTTATTAATAAATTTTCTTCAAGTAAGATCTCTCAACTGGAGATGAGCAGAGAAAGAGGCTCCAAGCCAACTGCAACAAGACAATTTTCCTTTATTTTATACACTTCTTGTTTTTACACTTTGTGTTGTTCCAAAGTCTGGTAAGACTTTTAGCTATTGCAAAGCTACACTTGTCACTCCATCCACTCTTCGCACATACATATGCACTCTAAAAATAACTGGGGAAGGCAAATCATTCTACTGCTAAAAAGAGATTCACCCACTATCCTTTCAAGTTGACCACAGCACTCCAGCAAAATCAGTATATACAGAGTGCAGCTGAGTGAGCCTCCACACAAAGTAGATGGACCGTTCCACAAGGATCAAAAGAGAGACAGTCTGCCTAGCTGCCTGCACGCTACTTCTAAGAATAATGTTTGTTAGAACAAATATGTGTAAGTATTTAAACATGTTTATTGAGCCAAATTCATTCCTGGTGTAACCAAACAGAAGTCAGGGAAGAGTGTGGCCCATCGTGAGCAATGAAAACAAAAAAAGTTACAATAATCTCAAGCAGCTAAATTTTTTTAACTGCCTGGGAATGAACAATCCTCTTATGAATTGTCCTGTATCCAAGGATAAAATGCCCTTCTTTGAAGGGGGAAAAGGAAGGTTGAAGAGAGAAACATCAGTTCAAAAAAACAAGAAGATGTAGGCTATATATTATGTAAGGTTTTTCTTACCTGGAGAAAGACTCGCTTAGGCTTTGGATTAGCAGAATCAGAACTGTATGGGAAGAATACTCCACTGCAAACAAGAATTAGTGTAACTCCAAACACTGTAGTTAAAGTTATCAGTGTCTTCTTTGTACTTTTGGCAAGATAGATGAAGTTAAGCTACAGAATAAAAATATCAGGCACTAGTTATGAAATTACTGCACTGAGTAGCAAAAGATAGTGTTAGTGTATTTCTAAAGACCTAATTTATGGAATTCAGAGGACATTTTAAAATGTGATTATCTTCACAAGTGTTATTTAATTTGATGCAAGAGACATTAAGTCATGCAATCTTAAATAACCAATATGCTAGATCTATGTGCAGACTTCCTAGAGTTTTAAGAAAGCACACATTGTTTTTTGAAATGTTCATTAGCAAATGGTACCTGATTATTTTTAATTGGAGGCCTGTGTGAGGGCACATTGTTAAAAACAGTGCTGAAACATGTCGTTATTTATATATTGTTCAGATCAATTTATACTCAATGCCACATTCTTCCTAAATTACACTAAAGTCCTAATTACCCTCCAGAATTAAAATATCTCAAGAAAGTTAAATTATGTTTTTTCAATTGAGGATAGTCTTCCCTTGCACTAATCTCTGTACCTCCATACTAAAGCAGATATATTCTTGTGTTCTGTCCAAATGGGTTTTCTTCAACTAACAATGTATTGTTTACTGCATTTAAACTCTCTCCTATACAATGGCTCAGTTTAATCTCATCATGAATGCAAAACAATCATCCTGAATACAGGAAGGGAAGTTTACAATGGGATAAACCCCCATTTTCATAGACAGCAGGTTACTTCAGTACATTTTTTGGGTCAATTTTCTCCTAGTCCTCTCAGGGACTCCTTCACCAATAGGGGAAAGCCACTGAACTTCCCCATCAGCATCTCATTTTCATATCATGTATAAATCCAACTCTCTAGTCAGATACTGGGCAAAATTCAACCCTGTATCATGCACAACTCCAACCAACTTCACTGAGAGGAGCACTCCACTATATGAAGATAGAATTTGGCTTTCTAGTATCCACAAACAGCATCTCTAAAGAGTCTAGTTTAATTTTAATGTACTGATTTAGCTACTTTTATGGGAGTTCCTTGTGATAAGCTAGCTTTTTAGCCTACAATTAAACCACCATTAATTTCAAATATTCTTTTAAAAAAGTAGCTCAGTATATGGATTACAAGGTTAAAAAAAAAAACCTCCTTACAAAATAGGAAGATAGAATTACAGTGCTGCTAAGGATAAAGGCTGCCAGCACTATATCAGGTGGAATTTCTGTACCACTTCGACCCATGATGGGAATGAACAGTTCAAATATTGTCCATGTGAGGTACATTATATAGAGGTATGGAATAAACATTCCCAGCATGTAAATTATGACAAATCTTATTGTGGCACCTACAGGAGAAAGGAAAAAAACAAGTAAGCATGATATTCTGTAGCCTGTAAGATACAGAATTTACAGTTTTAATTAGTTACTGTATACAATATCAAGGGACAAATACAAGCTATTTCCAAGGGCGAGGTCCAGCTACATGGACAGAAGGCTCCATCTGGTACAGACCATGCCAATGCAAGACATTTTTAAAGCCACATAATACTATACTTGTATTGTGAAAAAAGCTCAATATCTGTGCCTAACTATGACACTGGTTTAGGTCCCATCTTTCATCTAAATACACCTCTACCCCAATATAACGTGGCCCGATATAACATGAACTCGGATAGAATGCAGTAAAGCAGCGCTCCGGGGGGCGGGGCTGTGCACTCCGGCGGATCAAAGCAAGTTTGATATAACGCGATTTCACCTATAACGCAGTAAGATTTTTTGGCTCCCGAGGACAGCGTTATATCGGGGTAGAGGTGTATTTGAACAATGATCATAACTGAACACACTGATAATTTGCCCCACTGAGTCTATACTGATATATATTATACTAGTCGCCAAAAGCCAAGGCTCTCTCACATGGGTGTAGCATTTGGGCCAAATAATCCACATCTGCTCCCTCAAATGGCCAAAGAAATTGTTGCATGCAAATTAGTTGTAAAGTAAGGGTGGTGACAGGTTGAGTTACCTCTCATATCACAATGGTCTAGGACTCTTGGCTTGGCATAGACATGTAGTCATAGTGTAGCCGTACACCAAACAGGTGTAATTCGTAAAGTCAAAATAGCTGAGAACTTAGAAAGTGGATGGTAACAGACTGCAAAATCTAGTGATGATTGAACCTGGTGATATTCTGAACAAAGAGATATGCTTGTTGCTGTTTCCATAGCTTCACACTGACTCAGACATTCTAGGCTTCAGGGTGACAATACTGGAATATTATATATAGAGCCCTGCAAATCCATGGATATCCGCTTTGTATCTGTGGATATCTGCGTCTGCGGAGGCAGATATCCATGGACCATTTTTGTGGATCGCGGATTGGATGCAGACACAAATTTTGTATCCACACAGGGCTCTAATTATATAGGTGACTCAAGCCACTCCTACATATCTGCTCTATTCTTAAAAGCTGCCTTTCTGTCAAGGTTATAGTTATTCCTAACAAAAATGCTACTGGCTTTCTTAAGTCAGAATAATTCAGAGCTCAGAGAAGTTATTTTTGTTTAAAGCTCCCAGGTTGTCAAATAATAAAATACATTTTTACCTTTTTGTTTGAATTCTCTATAGGTCAATAGCTTTGTGAGTAAAGGAAACGCTACCCACATTGCACAGATGAATGCTGAGCAAAGGCCTAGTTGAGTGATTAGAACCAATGCAATAGACCAAACAAGAAGTGAGACATCAAAGAACATCTCCCCCAGGAACTGCTCATTTCTATTCTGTAAAGAAAAAATACAGAATTAGCCTGCTTTGTGATCAGTATATATCAGATCTCTTAAGGCCACTATTGCAAATTTCTGTTGCTTATACACAGCTAAAGTTTTGTTTGGTCACCATCTATCCTTTTATAAACACTGCCACACCAATTTCTTTCCCTTTATGGAACTATACAATTAGATGCTACATCAGAGCAGATTCAAAAAAAGTAGTTTAACAGGAGATTAGTTTGGAAGTTGGAGGGAAGGAAGAGAGAATTAAAGGAAAAGGCAGGCAACATTTTCTAGATGTATGTTTTATGCACATGGCTTTTTACTTTCATATATAGCAAATGGTTTGTCCAAATGTGGGGGTTATTTTTTTTTCCCCAAAGGAAGCACCAGGGTCCACAGGCAAGATTAGGCACATTTTTAACACTGGTTAGCAATGTTACTGAAAACATGTGGTAAGGGATTTCACCTTCACCAGGTCAAGTTTGTTAATTTTTAGTACTAGAAACCATTTCATCTTTATTTCTCTTGTAACCATTTCTGATTTTAATATCTTATACTTGTACTCACTTAAAACCTATCTTCTTGTATTTAAATAAACTTGTTTTAGTCTTTAATCAAAACTAATCCAGTGTTGTAGTTAAACTAGACTGTGAGATAACTCCATTTAAACTATTGGATATTGATCCCCTTAGAGGGGCAACAGACCTAAAATATCTGAGCTGTCCAGGAGAGGGTTGGACAGTGCAGAACATACATTTTGAGGGAAAATTTGGGATTGGGAGTGTGTTGAGGTCACCATTCAAGTGGTAACCAAGGCTGGTGGAAACCAGAGTGTGACTGAAGCATGTATAGCTGCAGCCTGCCAGCAGACGCTCAGGGTGTGACCTGCATGCTGTTTTGTTGCAAGTTATGGCAGCAAAGCACTGCGAGGCACCCCAGGTTGCAGGACAAAGGTGACACAGCCCTTCAATGTCTGGATTGCATCCCGGAACGTCATAGCAACATGATGGCAAATGAAATTCAATGTCAATAATGCAAAGTAATGCTCACAGGAGGTGAAAATGTAAACTACCGATACACCTTACAGGGTTCTAAATTAACTATATTAACTCAAGAAAGGGACCTGGATGTCACTGTAGATAGCTCAATGAAGACCTCTACTCAATGTGCAGCTGTGGTCAAAAAAGCAAACAAGAAATTAGGATGCATAAGGAATGGGATGAATAACATGGAAATTATAATGCCATTATATAAATCAATGGTATGGCCTCACCTAGAATACTGTATGCAGTACTCAAAATGGAAAGTGCAGAATTAGAAATTCACCGAAGAGCAACAAGAGAATGATCAAAGCCAGGGAAAAACTCATATGACGAGATTGAAAAGACTGGGATTGTTATTTTAGAAAGGAGACAAATAAGAGGGAATATGATAAAAGTATATAAATTAATGAGTAGTATACAGAAGGCAGACTGGGAACGTCTGTTCTCTCTGCCTTATACACAAGACTAAGGGGGCATTTAATAAAATTTAAAAGGTGGAAAATTCAAAACAAATAAAAGGGACCACTTTTCCACACAGCCTCTGATTAATCTGAGGAACTAATTGCCACAGGCAGTTATCTGAAGCCAAAAAACGTAACAAGCTTCAAAGAATGACTGAATAACTACATAGATAAAGAATATGCAGAGTCGTCATAATTAGCAATAACAAGAATGTTGAAACCTCATGCTTCAGGGTTAAACCAATTTAACCACTAGAGACCAGGATGAGACCTAATGTGGAGGAATTATCTTAAATTATCCTACCATGCGGTTCTTCCCCTTTCTTCTGAAGCATCTGGTATTGGTCACTGTCAGACACAATATTCTGGACTAGATGGGTCTAGGGACTGATCCAGTTTGATAATATGTTTAAAAATATTAAACTTAACACCCCCAAGAGATGTCTTTTAAATACATGTTTGACAAAGATACAAATCTTCATGAAGCTTATGAGCCAACTGAACTGATGGGCTTTCAAGAAGTCAACACTTGTCACAGTTCAGATTATTAAATCCCTGTTCATCAGTAATGATCTAATTTTTCTACTCCATGTCACCAAGTAATAAACTACGAAGAATCAGCTCTTACCTTATAATAGAACTTTTTGGCTAACGTGTGCACGAGGATTAGTTTAGCCGCAGCTGCAGTTCCATACAAGAAGATGGAGACATAGAAGTGGTTATACCAAGAAAGAGATCGTCCGATGAGAGAGATGAACACTGCCACAATAAGGACAGTCACTAATGTGGAGAACCAACTCAACAGTGTGAAGCTAAATGCAACGGAGAGCTCCTTCATGTAGTTAATAGCTAAGGAAGAGAGAAAAAATAGTAAACTCAAATGCAATGGGCCATTTTATTAGCTACATTTTGCAGTTAGGGTGCTATACTGGGACTAAAATTACAACAATGATCACCTTGCTCATTAAAGCAATTAAATAAGATGCAATGTAGGTTTAGGGGTCTCCTGTTGAAGATTCCTTCGCAGAATCAGGGCCTAAGCTATCCAGCCCATGCCCTTATCACTACAAGTTCCTTTCTTACTGAACTAGTGATTTGTTCAGGGCATTTCCCTTGAGAGATTATCCCACAGCCTAGGAAACGTCAGGAAAGATTTTGTTTTTTAAGGATTCCAGTTTATGTTTTCCCAGAGAAAGAAGGTAGTTTCCATGGGTTTGGTTTTGTTTATAAAGTTTTGAAAAAGTATTGCTTTATTAAGTTATATTATTATATAATTATTAGTTCTGTGCTTGTTCTCCCCTCCCAATAATTAAAGGAGGCTTAATTGCAGGGCATTTGGGATCAGGAAGGAATTTTCCCCCAGGTCAGATTGGCTGAGACCCTGGGGTGTGGGGGTGTGTGCGGGTTCCACCTTCCTCTGCAGCATGTGCCATGGGTCACTTGCAGGTTTAAACTAGTGTAAATGGTGGATTCTCTGTAACTTGAAGTCTTTAAACCATGATTTGAGGACTTCAGTAACTCAGCCAGGGTTTAGGGGTCTATTTCAGGAGTGGGTGAGATTCTGTGGCCTGCAATGTGCAGGAGGTCAGACTAGATGATCATGATGGTCCCTTCTGACCTTAAAGTCTATGAGTCTATTTAGCCTACATGGACAAGGTCCTTTCAATAACTTTCAGTACCCTTTTTCCTTTTAAAGACTGTTTTATTATTTGCTGCTGTATATTGACAAATTTATATGTAAAAAGATACCCCTTTTCTTAAAAAAATAAAAAAGAAAAAGAAAAAAGAAGAAGGAAAAGGAAAAAGCCCTACCCGTTACTAAAACTAACAAACTGGACACTGAGTAATTTTGAAATAATTTCAGGTGGTTGTTTTTAACTTTTAAAAAATGCCACTGAAATTTTCATGAAAAGCTGAGCTACAACACATTCTTGATTTTGGGCCTGTGAGGATATCCCTTTATCACTGTAGTCATTTCATGCTCGAGTGACTTAATACAATGAGCTCCAAAGCAACTGACACAAGCCACTGAGTACACAATATCCATTTTAAAGTTCATCTATGCAAGTAATTGCATAAATCTGCTGATAATTTCCTATCATATTAGCTTCTGTTTATTTAAAAACTTACCAAGTTCCTCCTGTTTAGAAAAATCACATTGTTCTTAGCTGGACTTACCCCTGTTTCTGGGCTGTAATATTTTTTTTCCTAGATAAAGGACAGTGACTGCAGTTATTATATAGTTCATGATGGTGCCAACACGAGCAGGGTAGGCCAGGACAAACAGACCAAACACATCAAAGAAGACCACATTTCCATGCCGATAGTCAAAAGATTTGGCCAATTTATCTGATGTTGCTAAGTATTTTAGCATTCCTAAAATATTGTCACCTGTTTAAGGGGGGAAAAAAGACAATATGAAAATAGGAAAGACAAGTGCATAGTTCTATATATAGATGTTATAAAAAAAGAAAAATATTACATCCTAAAATTATACTTCTACATCACATTAGAAATTTGTTTAATTAATCTTTTAGCTATCATTTCATATTTGATTACACGCAATGCAAAATATTCTTCTAAACCAGGACTTCTCAAACTTCACCGCGATCCCCTTCTGACAACAAAAATTACTACTCAATCCCAGGAGGGGGGACCGAAGCTTAAGTCCACCTGACTCCCATTGCCCCAGGTGGGGCGCCAAAGCCTCACTGCCCTGGGCAGGGTAGGGGTCAAAGCCAAAGCCCAAGGGTTTCAGCTCCAGTCAGGGGGACTGTAACCTGAGCCCTGTCACCCAGGGCTGAATGCTTCGGCTTCGGCCCCGGGCATTGGGGTTTGGGCTTCAGCCCTGAGCCCCAGCAAGTATAAACCAACTCTGGTGATCCCATTAAAATTGGGTTACAACCCACTTTGGGGTCCTGACCCACAGTTTGAGAACCACTGTTCTAAACCTACATAGTGACCCTTGATATAAACATCCTTGGGAACCAAGCTCTAAGCAGTGAACTGCTTTTTCTGTAACAAAATTATCAAAATGAGGAGTATCAGCTTTACAACAGGGATAGGGGAAAAAAACAGAAGTACACTAGGGCATCTTGCAACTGTATTACTTTAAAAAAAAATTAAAACTGATCTCCATGAAAGTTATTCACAGAACTCTGCTGCTGACCCAATTCCTTCAACTAAAACTGAACAAATATTAGCTATATAATTTGGTCATGACTACAAGAGGACAACTGTTGCCTGAGTGCCTATAAAAAGATTGAGAAACAAGCCTGGAAAGAGTAACGCTGATTTAATTCTGCCAGTCAAAGAAAGAAGACACTAATTTTGTTAATATTCCTGGTGGTGGCTAGCACACACTTTTGAGTGTTGTGGTTTTTCAAAAAAATCTATTAATAATTACTTTTACAGATTCTCTACTTAAGAGTAAATTTAGTACTTATAAAAAGGTGAAATATTGACCGATCTGGAAAGTGAATTCTCCTCTTTATCCATGGAAATAATAAAATATGGGCTGTGGCAGCAGGAGAAGCTTGCCCAGACTGTCCTGCCATTTTGGTTCTGCCCTGGTTTGGGAAGGACCAATTCTAGAGGCGATTCAGTCTCCATGCCACCCATTTAACCCTCAGTCTCCTTGTGGAGAATATTAAACAAGGATGCAAAGTATTGTGGATATTTGCCCATAGGAAAATGGCCAGAGGTAGATCTTTGAACAGTCCTCAGATGGCGATGAATTTGGTCACCACTGGCCTGGCCAGATTTCAATCTGAAAGAGGCTCCAGAGATTGTTACAAATCACGAGCCACTGAATTCTGAGAAGTTTTATTTCTTTTGAGGTTTACCAATGTTTAGATTATGCATCACTAATCGTTAAGAAATGTCCAACTTATAGGGGCTACAATAAGGATTAGTAGGAAAAGGAAGCAATTTTCATTTAGCCACATTCTTTATCAAATTTTTGATGGAAGTCTGAATACCAACCTGCTCTCTGAATTGAATCCGTTAGAATTCTGTCTGGTGTGTCATATTTTGTATGGTAAATGTAGCCATTTTCAATGAAAGCCAAGTCTATTCCTATGAAGATAGAAAAGGACTATGATTAAAGTTACCTAAACCTAATCAAACACTTGAAAGCTTTCAGAACATTTTACAAAATAAAAAATAGTTTTGTTCTACCAATGTAACCCAACACTCACTTTTGACTACTATGACTTGAACAGCTTACCACATGTAGTAAGACTGCTTAAGAACCAATTTTGTAACAGAACATGGACTGTTTAATTTCTTTAAAGAATATTTAATTAAAGGTATATGAAAATATTTGGTCCTTCTGTATTTTACTGCCATGCCTGCTCTTTATACACACAACTTCCCTCTACTGTAGAAAGTCATGCCTATACCAATATTCTGATCACCTGATTCTAATGAGGCTAGCCTCTAGCTTCCAAGGACAGCATAAGCCCCCTATCACCTTCCATAGTTTATTTGGTGACTGGTTGTCTGCCTGAAGCAGTGGAATATCACTCTTACCAGCCAACGGCCAAATTCCAAATTTTGTGCTTTCCCAACATCATCGCTAAAGATTCAGTGTGGTTCTACACAGAAAAGCAACTAGAAAATGTAATCCTGAGACTGCATGACTACCACCGCTTAACAATTTTGTGTGGTCACCTTACAGGTAAAAAGAGATTTTTTTGTAATTGCCAGTCCTGCAAAGTCTACCTGGGCTCCAAGAATCAAGCTTTCCTTCCCATGAATCACCACTTGCAGAGGTTCTGCAAGCCAAATGATGCCTTCAGTGTACCCCTGTGCAATTCATAGTGTGTACGCTCACAGTAGTACCTGCATACTTAGTGCTGTCACTGATTTTGTATCCATGTAGCTGATCAAAACAAGCAATTCTGTTGGTGCACAAGAATGAATAGAATCCATTTCTCAAACACAGCTGTTTTCGCTCTGCATGGCTATCAGAAGAAAGGCAATAAAAACTCATTTGCCACCTAATAAGAGCAGATACGTTTCCAAACACAGATGGACCCAAATTAGCTACATCAGACGTTACTATTCTTACACAATCCATTTTGAGATTAGAAGTGTGCTTTAGAACAGTTCAGAGCACGCAGTACAGTACTTTGTTTTAGCCACGTCCTTACGCGTCACTCTGTGCAGACCACTTTTCTAGAGACCAAATACCTCAATGTTCATTCAAATACCTTAAATCCTCCTCCTCCTCCTATAGAAATCTATTTTCCTTTAGCATTTGTGCCAAATGAGATGTCATTTTGTGCTGTCTTCTCCAATTAAACCACCCATTATTTAAGTTGTTAGGAAAAAGGGATTAGTGTGAATTGTAAACTAAGGAGTCAAAAGAATTCCTGACCATCTGGAGCATGACTACTGCAATGAAAGTAGTAAGATTGCAGCCATAACAGTTACAAATCTAAAAGTTATGCTTCTTTTTCCCCCTCTCTATTCCTTACATACATAATTTTTCTTTCAATTCTTGGTTCCAAGTGGGGTTTCTTCCCCCACTTTGAATTTAAATGCTTTAAATGTAACTATGCTATAATATATATTTGATTTCCAAGAGATTTTCCTGATTTTTAAGTAAGTAATTTTCCCCATGTGGTTGCCCCCTGTAATAGGCTCTCTTTCTCCCTGGGGGACCCATTGGTTTTATTAACACTGGTTGCAAAAACTGCCATTGCCAACTCATATGCCAGAAATGAGCAAGTTTCTGTAGCCCATATACCTGGATTGCAAGGTGACAAGAGTAGCAGCTTTCCATAACCTATACATGTGAGGTGGTATTAACCTCAGCTATAATGGGATACTGTGATCAATGCTGTCATAGAGGAAAGCATTTTATACTTTCAAACCTGCTGTACTTTGACAATGTGGTCCCTTTTCGGTTTAATTAAGATCAACTGTAGTTCGCTATATTAATCCACAACTTAAAAGTCTGAGAATTTTCAGTGTGCCATGGCATTTAGCACTAGTGTGCTAGAAATCAGGGGGCTGACAGAGAATGAAGACACACTGAGACAAGAGAACACTCAGGACCCTGAGTGTATGCACCTAGTCAGTGTGGGACACCAAAAACCATGAGGGTTATTTTCCTAGGGGAGAAACACAATATGTTCCTCCTAAACTTAAGCAGATACCAAGTCAAGTTTCAGTTTGGAGTTCATGGCCTAGAGCCCAAACCCTAAAACCGTTACATGAGTGAGCATTTACAGGATTGTCCCCTTGTTATAAATCTAGATAAGGGTTGAATAATGCCCCCCATTGACAGGTTTTCTGATAACATACCTGGAATATTCCCGAAGTCCCTGTAGATACGGAAGTCTGTATCTGCAGGGATAATTCCACTCTGAAACACTTCCTGTGCCACCACAGAGGCAAAGGGATGCTTGGCTGCAAAGACATATGCTTGTACCAACCAAGGATTTTCAGGCCCTGCCAATAGAGAGTAAGAGATTTACAAAAACTGGAGAATCGTATACAAGATCAAAACTAAAGGAGTGAAGGCTGCTAAGAGGAGGCATCACTGGGCTTAAATAGCTGATTCCTGGGAAACATCTTAATTAAGTGCATCTTGTAAGCAGGTCTACCTGATATGAAGGAGTAGATTCTGAACCCACCTACCCCAAAATAAAGCAAATACTCAAGGAAGGACTAGGCACATTCAATTACATCTAGACAGTCTCTGGATTAAGTATCAGTGTTCACCCATAAAAACAGACCTGAATGGAAAACTGTTTTCTTCTGTGTGTCCACAGTTTCTCCCTTAAATAAGTTTCATGCTGCTCCTTAGTTAATATCTCAAATATATTGCTGTGTGAGAGCATAAGATTGAGAATAAGGATTGTAAACCAGATTGGAAGTGGACAGGAAGAAAGAGGAAACTGAAGTTTTATCAGGATCATATCTATATCATGTTGAGTTTGAGAACCATGACCTCTATGATTAAAAAAAACTGACTTGTAGGGTTTTTCATGCCATTGTCCTTCATTCCAACCAGCCCACTTCTTAGTGCATTCATTTACAAATAATTCTCTATACATCCAGCATAATGGAATATTAGTAACTAAGAAGAGGTCATGAAAAATATGGGAAATTTCTCTATTTTTAAAAAATTAATACAAAAGTGATCAGGGAAATGGAGTCATACTTTTTTTGGCCACAGGGCCTGAAGGGGCTAATTTCTATCATAGGGCAGAGGGAAAGTAATGAAGTGGCTGCGTGTGCATCAGTAGGCATATGCATGATCAAGCAAGAACCATCAACATATGGATGGTGTTACCGTGGAGGTATAATGGAAGACCAACAGCCGACTTCAACTTTTAATGACTACCAGCCAAGGCAGGCTGAACATGTGAAAGAAGTGTGACTGGAGCTTGAAACAAAGAACTGAGATGTTAGACTAGAATAAGAATGCTGCTGCCCAGTGCAGTAGAGAGTGAAATCCCGGATGTTTGGGCAAGACATGCACTCTGTGCTGCAGCACACACATGTAGGTAGGCTTTGCTTTATCATTCTAATCTAAGGACCTAAATATTATATTACAGTTGACTGATAAATGATATCTTGTTTTGAAACGGCTGTCCTGTGTTGCTGCAAACATTTGCTAGTTGCACACCTCCCAAGAGGGCAAGTCTCCAGTAGGGTTTGAGCTCTTTTGGACCTGCTGAAGGAGCCATGGTGAGAAAAAGAGGTGTTGAAGCCAGGGACCCAGTCTTGGAGTAGCTGAGTGGCAGGGCTGTCCTCTGTAAAAAGGGAAGGCCTAGGGAAAAGACAATTACACTCCCAGAGACACCATATAAAGGCTGGTTGGCGGCATAGAGTGCTTTGTGGATCCATGACACATGATTATCAATTTTATTGTAAATCCTTCTCTTATCTCATAATTTCTTAAGGGAAATTTATATGTTTTTATGACCTTCTTATTTTTAAACTAAAATGTTTCCCATGACAAGCAACCAGCCTTAATCACAACTGTATCAGTGTTTAGATACAATGATTATAGGTTCAACATAAAAACAGTAAGATAGATCTTGTTTGGATTACTGCACATCTCCAGTTCACAATGCTCAAATCCCATTTTCCCATGCAACAAACACTAATCTCGGTGTTTAAAAACAAGTTAAAGCCCGTTCATCGTGAGAGATTAAAGTCAATCTCAAATAAACTGTTTGAAAACTGTGAGGATTTAACATAAGATTACTAATGTCATTCAGTAAATCTCTTAAGACATCACCATACAAAAGATTCAAGTAGTACACAAGTCTTTACCTGTGACATTATTACAAACAAGGATTTTTCGAATTGCATGTTTAATTTATTTTTCACTATTTAAACCATTTTTACTTTTTATACTTTGTTCATTTTGGACACTGGAAATAAGCTAGCATGGTGTCCTATGTTTTAGCAAAGCACCTAGCCCATTTTAGCCCAGCACTGAGCACAGTTTAGGAAGGAAGTCAGCCAAGGTGACTTTAAGCCTAGTGTTACCAATCCTCCAGGATTGTCCTGGCGTCCCCAGGAATTAAAGATTAAACTTTAATTAAAGATTATGTCATGTGATGAAACCTCCAGGAATAAATCCAACCAAAATTTGCTCTCCTATTTAAACTATGTTTACACTACACCCCACCCCATCTTGATGCCAGTTCTGCACCATGCAGATCCCAACATGGATTTGAGCACCCTCAGGGGCTGGCTCCATAGGCCAGGAGCCACTACCATGGCTCTACATCACCTTAGGTTTCCCCCAGGCAAAGGGGATTCTTCAATTGGCAGGTTTACGGATTCTTCACACCATCAGAACAGCATAGAGCAGACAGAGGTACTGGGGAATTTAGCACTGTGGTCCCTACCACAACTTAAAAAAAAATCTCACTTGATTACAATCAGTTTCACTTTCTGACTCTTGTGCAATAGCACAGTGATGCAGTGTTTGACCTACACATTCTTCTGGAGAGGTTTTAATCCAAGATGAAAGGATGGTTTGATCAGGTTTTACAAAAGCCTCCTCCTGCCCCCAAACCAAAATCCTTCCTAATCTGGGCCTAAAACTACAGTCTCTTTTTATAATTCATAAATCTAAGTAACTCTTTAGGACATATTGTTGATCAATAAACATTTATATAGCAGTAGCACATAGATGCCTCAATTAATTTGGGACCCATGGTGCTAGTCACTGTACAAAAATGACAGTTCCCACTCCAATCCACCTGCAAGATTTTTTTTTTTTTTTAAGAAGATATCACAGGCAGAGGAGACAAATAAGCAGGCTAGGATGGGGAAAACAGGATAACAGATAAATATAACATGAGCACAATTAGCCATTTAGTAGCAGTGACTATAGCTCACCACTTTCCTAGCCATTATCAGGCTGCTATTTATGGTATGCATTACATAAGAGGCAAGTTTTGACAATGATAAGGTGGCAAGCAGCTTTATAGATTTTGACTCCGAGCTTCTTCCCCCACTCATAAGATGAAGGTACGAGAGAGAAAGCCTGAAAGTGCTCGGACAGTCAGGCAATCGAGGCTGGCATCATGGGCCGAGTGGTGCCAAGAGATGACCTTGTGATAACAGCCTGGCTAAGCAGGTTGGGGGAAAGTTGTGGAGGACTTTGAAAGTAAGGACAATACGTTTTTGCTTGATGCACTGGAAGAGGAGATGCCAGTCCAGGGACTTCAGATGGGCCTGACAGAGCAGTGAGCCAGGAAGGGTATCTTAGCAGCCACATTCTGAATAGATTTGAGTGGAGGAAGCTGCAGGCTTCAGTGCCAGAGAGGTGGTATTAACAGTAATCATGGCAGAAGATGATCACGGCATGGACTAGAGTTTTAGCAGTGTGAGCAAAGAGAAAATGTAGGATCTTGGAGATGCTGTACAGGAAGAATCAGCAAGGTTTAAACATGTGTTGGTCAAAGGAGAGGGCTCAGTCAAAGAAGATGCCAAGATTACAAACTTCAAAGAAAGAGAAAAGATTACTGTGTAGTTCACTGTGATAAAGAAATGGGGGAGAGAGAAGGGCTTAGAAGAAGTTCAAGAATTCACTGAAACAGACATGCTTTTTCTACTCTTCCCCTCAGTCAGCTGTTTAAAGCAGTTATAAGTTTGATTAATTTTTTTTTAAATTTAAATCTACATACCACTGACTTTGTGCTACTAACTGTTAGCACCATGTACTGGAAACAGTCAATACCATTGTAAATAGTCACCACTTATTGAAATCCCATGTCACTGTTAATGGAAGAGCCCTGTTAGATCATTCAGTCCATCTCTTCCACTTCCAATCAGTGCTGTTCCCTACAGAACAGCCTCAAGAGCCATATCTTGCTCGCACTGAAGTCAGTTAGAGTGTTATCATTACATTCTACTGGAGGACTGAGAACTAATTTCACATTTGAATATCTATAGTGACAGGAGCACTTAACTCTCCTTAGAAGTAACATAACAGGGTGAACTAGTGGCACAATAGCACAAGGTTTTTTGAAATGCCCTTCTTCGTTTTAAAACTCCTTCCAGAAATACCTCTCTCTTTGTCTCTCCAGACTAGATTAATAATCTTATACTGAAATCATGGCATTGATTGTGACAATGGGCCCCCCCGGCTACTCCCAGCATACAGAGCACTTCTGCAGTGATTCACCTGGCTTTCTGCTTGTTGATCTTGTAAATACTTTCCCGTTTAGTACAGAAGTTTGTTGATGCCAGCATTTCAGAAGATTACGTTAGTTTAAACAAGTCAGCAACACTTTTTAAATGCTGTTTTGAACACTACTATTGTCAAAGGAGAAGATTAAGTTAAGCATTTTTTTCAAGAACCATTTCTTTAAATGCATTTAATTATCAATTTAATACCTGGAAAGGAAGTAAGAGACATAATTGTTTGAAAATGCATAACAAAGTAAATCACTTTCCCCTAAGGGAGTATTTCTTACTTCATCTGAAGAGTAGTAATATTTAGCCTTCATTTAGTACTTTAGATCTTTAAAGCAATGTATAAACTTCTACCAAATCCCCAAAACTCTTGAAGAGGTATTAGCAGTATTAGTCTCCCACTTCACTGACTGGGAAATAGATTAAGTAATATGGTGATGATGACAGTGAGTCACTGGTAAAACTGGGAACAGTTCTCAGACATTCCTAACTTCCTGTCTCAGGTTCATTACTCTACCCCAGTGGTCTTCAAGCAGAGGTACATGTGCCCCTGGGGGTACGCAGAGGTCTTCCAGAGGGCACATCAACTCATCTAGATATTTGCCTAGTTTTACAACAGGCTACATGAAAAGCACTAGCGAAGTCAGTACAAACTAAAATTTCATACAGACAATGACTTGTTTATACTGCTCTATATACTACACAGAAATGTCAGTACAATATTTATATTCCAATTGATTTATTTTATAATTATATGATAAAAATTAGAAAGTAAGCAATTTTTCAGTAATAGTGTTCTGTAACACTTTTGTATTTTTTGTCTGATTTTGTAAGCAAGTAGTTTTTAAGTGAGGAAGCTTGGGGGTACGCAAGACAAATCAGACTCCTGAAAGGGGTACAGTGGTCTGGAGAGGTTGAAAACTTCTGCTCTAACCAACACTGAATTCAAGAGCTCCTTTAATGTAATAACTGGATATTCAGGAGTCATTTATAATGTGTATAGTCATTAAAATGACAATACAGCAGCATGGATTAATGCACTCAAGCACAGCAAGGCCTCTATTGTTCCTTAGGCAGATATCAAGTAATTCTTAGGAAAAATAAGTGTCAGTGCAGGAATCTGAATATTTTGATATGTTTCATATTTTAGGACTTTGTTTTGATTGTCTCCTTTTCAATGCTTTGGGACCCTCCTCCCCACTACCTAAGGATATGTTTGGGAGACTCCTCCGCTCCCACATTATTTCTCCAGCAATATGTCAAATTCATTGTTTTGAAAAACTCTCTACTGAAGTTTTCCGTAGAAGCAATAAATAAACTGGTGCAGCAGAGGGAAATCTGCAGCCCAACCAGGATACAACAGAAGTTTATCACCAGCCCATTTATATTTCTGCAGAGCTGTGGTCAGCAGAAAGCTCTGGAAAGAACCAGGTTTGTGCTTTCAACAGAAAAAACAAAATGCACTCATTTAAGATGTTAAGAAGTACAGCAGCAGGATTATCCCACCATTCCACTGAGCTGTTTTGTACCAACTACTTCAACACAAAATGGAACTACAACTGCTGCCACTAAAGCCCCAGCTGTGCTGCAGAGGATTTCCTGCCTGTGAATTTCACAGCATAAAAGAGTTTTTTTTTTTAAAGGAGTTAGATGGAATTTTAAAGGATCCCAAAGTGTATTTTTATGGTTAAAAATTTAAGGTTGACAGATGAGAGCCAGGAAACCAAGATTAAAGCCAATATTCCATTTTAAATTCATTATGGAAAAAAGTACCAAAAAATTGGCATTAAGAAGATATGTTGCCTCATGTCTTCACAATGACTGTCTCTGCTTGTGCCACAGCCTTAGGGTAATTAAACCTGTTCAATAGTTCGTTACCTGTAAGGTAAGGATATGATAGGGATTCTGCATGGTGTGAAATTTATTCTCATCGACCTCATGAGTTATTTTCAATATTCTCTAAGAAGTTTGTTTCTAATAAGAAAGCTTTAGTTTGTTTGTTTTTTGTTCTAAATAAAACACAACCAACTCATGTATACAAGTGGGAAATGTAATGCATGATCATACCTGTTTGAAACACAAGCTCTTTCCCTCCTACACCTGCTGCTTCCAGGTTAATAAATGCTCTAATCGACTTGGCCCAGCGGTGTTGTGTAATGAAGCCATGACTAGCCTTGACAGGAAGCAAAGAAAATATAGATCAAATATCTTTAAGACAAAGCCTAGAGATTATTTTCCATCAGAGGCACCTAGAATTCAGATTTTGACAGGGAAAGATCATAGGTGCATTCAGGTGAAGCCAGAAGTTTACTTGAGGGCACAGAGAAGAGCCGCCATCAACATAACAGAATTCACTCATCTTTATCCATGACACCACCACCACATGTCTCCTCTTTCTTCATGCCCTCAAAAACCCTTATGTTCATGCTGATTGTTTGGTGTCCAATCCACATATTTAATATGTATATCGTTACATACTAGAAAGTCCAATCAGCCAGGCCCTTTACAAACAGACACACAGTGTTTATCTCAAAGAGCTTACATGCCTACAAACAATAGCTTAGCATAGTTAGGGTGTTTACGATCTGTTTTTGTAATAACAAAATAAAACATATTTAGCTAATTACTACTGATTATCATGAATGCAACAGGTTCCCTACTATGCCTTACTAACCAAATTGTTCCACCTGAATTATAAATGAAGAACCACATAACAATACACAGACTTCCATAACAGTACACTAGTATGGTTAGACTTGTAGTGTAAATGTAAATGAGCACTAAGACTACTTTACACTTCCAGATTTATGTAAAAAAGTGACCTTAATCTAAGTGAGAATCATGCCTGTAGAGTAGATGAGCTTTTAGAGTTACAAGGTCTGTTAATTTTCACGGCTAGAAAGTTATACAGCATTAAAATACTTTTTCAGGGGAGGGCAAAGGAGGAAACGAATGGCTATAACATCAGTTTGTGACTTGCCAACCGTGACAAAAAGACACTTTAAAGCAAACAAATAAAATAATCAATTTGCACTTCTGTAACATCTGTCATAGGAAATCAAAATATTTACAAATATTAAGTCTGGGAGTTAAGTATTTCACCCATCTGAAAACAAGTATAAATGATGCACAGAGAACTGACTTTTTTTTTTTTCTAATCTCAATGTCACACCAGTGAGAGGTAGAACTGGGAGTAGAACCCAAGAGTCGAGAGTCTCAGTCCTCTGAGCTGAGCAACACATGATGCTGCATCTTACTTGCAACACTTAGGAACCTACTCATTAAAGCAACATTGTGAGCATTCATAATTCAGGTATAAAGTTAATTTTAAGTAGCAAGTAGCTTTTCCTCAGATAATTGAAAAGCAGATTAACATCTGTAACTGACATTTAGACTTGTAAAATACAAGTTATACCTATAATTACAATTTCCTTTGTCAATCATCTTTAATTCAGGGTTCCGATTATGCATGTTTTATAAATCTGGCATACTAATTAATCTTACCTGCAAGATATTTTCTTCTGCGCCATTGAAAAGGAATATGACAGCATGTTGCAAGGGATCAGATGACTTTGAGAGAGTGTTCAGTATTTCAAGCATCACTGAGCAACTAACAGCATCATCACTGGCACCTTAATAAGTGGAACAGAGTAGCTAATGTGAGATTTTTAACATGGTTAAGACCTGTCCCCTCAACTTGATCCTTAACTACTCAAACATATTTAAAGAACACATCGGA